TATTGCTAGGCCAAGTTGATACTAAGTTTGGCAATTTGGTCTGTTAGTTGTTTGATAGCTTAGTCTGTTTCTATAGTAGTATTGGCAGCCATTACATGTCCAGTTTCCTATTGTTTTGCAGTGTTAATAGCAGCATTTAGGTTAGCAGGTTCACTAACTTGCATATTGATAGAAAATTCAGAGCATAGTCCTTGGATAAATAATTGCTTGGTGAAATCAACCGAAAAAGCATCACCAGGGTCAATTCATCTTTTCAATTGTCTAAAATAATTAACATAGGCATCTACAGTGTCTGAGCCTTGTTTAATATCAAAAAGCTGTTTTTGCCAAATAGCTTTTTGTTTAGGTGTGTGAAAGCGAAGCCTAAAGAGATGTTTAAAGTTTCTGTCTTGGCAGGCATTATCATCAAAAGCATTTGGAGCAGGGTTAAGACTTTGCTACTAATCTAATGCAATTCCTTTTAAATATATAGGAGTTAGTTCCAATTTTCGAACAGCATTCTACTTATTAGTGATAGCAGCTCTTCAAAAATCTTCAAGCCATTGTTCTGAGTCTTGGGTTCTATCACTATAAAAGAAGTCAGCTTTCATAAGAGATTTTTCACTTTCATTTAGAGCATTGGTAAGGTTAGCCATAGCTTGTATAGCATCTTGTAAAGCCTGTTGTGCCATATTGTCAAGTGGGTCAAAAAGGTTATTAAGAATAGGTGAAAGTGGAAGAAGAAGTTGAGGTTAAGTTTAAATAACAATAGGTTAGAATTGGATAATGATAGGTTAAGGTTGAATAGATAAAGGTTGAACAGCAATAGGTTGAAATATGAAAATAGCAAGTTGAGATAGAGGCAAAGGAGGAGAACTATCTTCAAAAGTTTGTTAAGGTGAATCAGTAGAAGTGTAATCTGAACTAGAGGTTTTTGTAAAGTCTACAGAAGTGGTAATATATTCTTCTGTTTCTATATTATCAGTGTGTAGTAGAGAAATTTGTGAAGTCCAATCAGAAGTATAATAACTTTCAGAAAGTTCAGTAGATATAACTAATTCACTATACAGGACTAAGCTATCTGCTGGGTCATGTAAGAAGAGAATATTATCAGTAAAAGTAATATCAGTTGTAGGTGGTAGGATAGACTTCCTAAATTTCCAAGATGTTGACTAAATTCTCCTGGTTCTTCAAAACTAAAACTTAGAGGAATGTCGAGATGAAGGTCAAAAGTGGTTTGATATTCAAAAGGTATAGTAGAAAGTTGAAAGGCATTGGTATATTTTCTAACTAGAGTTAAAGCAATTGTTCTAGAATCACTAAGATCTTGTTGGTATCGACAACTAAAAATAATATCTCTAATGCAGAGGTGAATTGTGATTCAGTTTGGATATGGGATAGTAAGAATGATAAAGTTGTCCTGGGTTTTGGAGAAATAATATTGAGCTGCAAAGTTGGTTTGATACCAGGTCCAAAATTGTTCAAAATCTGAGCAAGGGTTAGTATATCGAAGAAAGTAATACTGAAGACAAGATAAATCTGGATGCTGTACTTAGAGTATGTCTACTGCAAGGTGAGATCCAGTTAGATGTGCTTGTTGATAGCTTTGAATGTTTTTATTATGAAGTTCAGCAGCAGTGTGAACCATAAAAGAAGATGTGTTTCTATGTCCAGGACTCTGCTAGAATAACTAATACTCATCCAGGTCTCTTGTCAAGATAACTAATACTTGTTTGGGTCTTTTGCTAAGATAACTAATACTCATCCAAGTCTTTTGCCAGGATAACTAATACATGTCTGGGTCTCTTGCTAGGATAACTAATACTTGTTTGGGTCTCTTGCCAAGATAACTTTTCCAATATGTCTGAGAATGTTTTGTCTGGAATGACTTGTTTTCTCTAAAAATTTAACCTTTCTGCCAGAAGGCATCAAATGTTATAAGTAAAAGCCTTTTTTATTTTTACATTATAATGATAACATAGCACAGAGAATCCCTTACGAGTATATGCAGTATCCAAGAGAGAAGTATAGCTTCTGTTAGACATTGTCAAAAAACTATACTTTTCTCTGAGGCAGTTCAGGAAAGGTAATGCAATACTAATAACTTTACTTTATTTTACTAAGAGAAGATAAACCTTGCCTATAGGAATTACTTTAGAGAGGAAGTATCAATACAGTTTATAGTTAAAAGCTATTTATTAAAATAATAACAAGAAGGGCTATTCTTAGGTTTCTGTTTCTAAAGAATCCCAAGATGTGTTTACAATATTAAAGAAAAGAGAAGTATCTGTTGTTTAATCACACTTGGAGAATTTAGCAGGGTTTATATATCTGTGAGCTAAGCAACTAAGTGGCCAAGTGATTAAGCGATTAAGTGACTAAGCAACTAAGTAATTACTAAGTGACTAGAAGGTTCTAGCAACTAATGACTAATGATTACTAAGTAAATAATTACTAAGTAACTAAGTGGCTAAGCAGCTAAGCAACTAAGTGACTAAGTGACTAAGTGATTACTAATCAACCAGAAAGTTCTAGCAACTACTAGTAATATAATGATAATACAATAATAGAATAACTAATATTAAATAATAATAATAAAATAATAATAACTAATAATAATAAAATAATAATAAATCATTCTATAACAATATTAAGAAGTTTACTTGCAGAAAGATTTAATCTTGACACAAACTATTAGAAGAGTTGCCTATATCTCAGTTTTTTCATGTACTTTTAGTTTATTAGCAACAATCTGCTTTATATATTAAAACAGAATCAAAGATATCATTTATTTAAAAACAATTTTTTAAACTGTTTTGGTACTAGTTTAGTTTAAGTAATTATTAAGAAGAGTTATTTTGTATATGATTAATTCTTCTTTTAACATTATTCAATTTTTTTTACTACTTATATTTTTTATTGCAATTAGATATTGACTTATATAATTTATTTTTTTTATCTATTTTTCTATATTAGTTAGATTTTTTATATTTACTTTAATTATTATTTTATATATTTTTTTTTTAGTATTATTATTTTCATTAGGTTTATTTTTCATAATGCTACTGCAACTATATCTTTTATATTAAAATAGTTATCTTTATTTGCTAGTTTTTACTCTAACTTTTTATTATTTATAAGTTTTAATATTATCTTTACTTTTTTACTTATCAATTTTAGAATCATAGACTCTTTTGATTTTATTTATATTGTCATTTAGTTATACTTATATAATTCTTCTTAATTTACTTTTATTATATACACTTTGTATTACTTATATGTCTATTCTATTTATTTTTGTATATGTTTGTTTATTTGTTTTTTCATATATTCCAAAATGATTTACAATTTCAAATTAATATTATTATTATTAAATTTTTTTTTTTAATATTAAAATCCCTATTTTTGAGATATAACATTTTTATTTAAGTATAGAAAACAACATATCACTAGGGACTACCTTAAATTTAGCGCTAAAAAGTAGTCGTCTGTGTTTAGTGTTACGATATACTAATCTGTGGTTGGTTTTATGTCTACTTATAGTAATTGATTTTCATCTGGCTATCCTTTTTTGTTAATTTTAAGTGTCACAAAATTTGACTGATTGTAAAAAGGTTCTCTACTACTATGTACTTTTAGCACTAATTATTAGCACTAACTTCTTTACACAAGAGAAGCGCATCGATAGGGCTGTGCAAGCTAAATTGCACTTAAAAAATTTTTTCGCTTCTCAGACAGCTATTGTATATATAATAAAAAAAAAATAAAAAAAACACATTGTTTTTTTTGATATAATATGATGATACCTGCATGTTTACTAAAATAGAAAATATGTTCTCTAAATGCATCTGATAGAAATTTGCATCATTTATTTAAACAACTAATACAAAGCTTGAAATTGAAATGAGTATTTTTAACAATGCTTCTCCAAAAATGTACATGTGATGCACTGACTAAAATAGTAAAATTACCTTCGTGAAATATTACGCTATAATTAATACATATACATTGTTTGTTTATCATTACTGTTATTTTAAATGTATTAAAATTTCTCCATTATGCATTTCCAAATTTTAATAAAGAAAATACCAGAAACCAAACATCCTCAGATATTAGTTATGAATAAAATGCGTTCTTTTTTTTATATTTTTAACAGTATACGCTTAAGTTTATTTATTTACATTATAATTGCTAAAAAAATATAACAACAAGAATTATTCGATAATATTACTTCCTAACTAAAAAAAATATTTGGAACATTATAAATCACGTATGAGCTTAAAGTAATTTGTTCTTGCGATATTTGCTTTGTGGTTACGAATGCATGTAATAAAAAATAAAAATCAATTTCAATTATTTTACTATTTACCTGTTATTTATAGAATCTCTTATTAGTAATAGAATTCAAATTGTTGTTAAAAAAAAAAAAAAAACACCCTGCTATATTGTTTAATTACCTTTTTATTTTATTGGTCAATAATTTTTGCTATCAGTTCTTTTGAATCTAACTAACAAAAAAAAATTACTTAATAACGAACTAACCATTTATAAAAAAATAATAATAATAATAAAATTGTTGCATCTAAACTAATAAAAAATTCATCAAAATAACTTGTAAAAAGAAAGAAAAATAAAATAAAATAAATAAAAAATATTATTACTAATTTATAATAAGCAAAATTCCCTTGATAAACAAAAACTTTTATCGATTATTTGACCTTTTCTTCGAATTGAAACTTTGAATTAGAATGAAAATATTCTAATAAAGAAAAAAAAGGATATAAAATGCTTCTTTTTCGCCATCCAGATTAATAATAATAAATAAAAAAAAAAATAACTTTCAAAAAAAAAACCCAGATTAATAATAAAAAAAAAAAAAAAAAAAAATAACTTTCAAAAAAAAAAAAAAAAAAACTAAATAATAATAAACTTGATCAAAAAAAAAAAAAACTAAATAATAATAAACTCGATCAAAAAAAAAAAAAATAACTAAATAAAAAAAAAATAAATAATAAATAAACATGACATCTATTTTTTGCACTATATCATACATCAAAAATGTTTCAGGGTCGAATAAAATCTGTAGTGGAAGTGCTATATATAGAACTGGAACTAATGAATTTGGTGAATATATATTCAAGGCTTTTAGATTTGATGAAATGATGCTAGTAGAAGAAATCACAAAAGGGAGCATATCATTGATAATCGGCTGATTCGCTTTCGTTATAGAAGAACTAAATGTAAGTAACTTTAAAAAATAAAAATTAATATATATGACAAACCAAAATCTTTAAAAAAATCATTGCTAACAAAAAAATGATACTATCGATTGTATACTAATCTCCTTTTAATTAATTAACTACTTATTCATCTATCATCTATCTAAGGTTACTATTGAACAGAATACCCCTCTTAAAATTCAAACAGCGAAAGACTATCCGTCGATATACAATCTCTCTATATCACCATCTTTCAGCATTTTTACAGCCTCAGTCCAAGACCCCAGCACTTCAGAAGAAGATAATGCAGTTTTTCATCTGAAAAGAGATGCTTATAATGGTGTAACTGCATCTCAAGTTACAATGTCTGTTTTATGTAAGTATGATCCCAAAGTTTGATATGCTAATGTAGCAGATGCCACGAAACATCAACCTATCATCTTAGTCACTGAAGAGTTGGTAACGCTAAAGAGATCAGCATGTGTACTATGCAACGTAATCGAATGAAGTTATCAAAACCAAGGAAACTCTAAAACCAGTAAAAATAATAAGTCAATGAAAGATAGAAAGTTAAGAAATGAGGAGTTAGAAAAATTAGTAGAAAAATTTAGTCCACCCCCTAATAAGAAACAATCTTGCAAAGCAAAAGAGGATATAAATGAGGATCCGCAAGAAGAAAGCTCCTCGAGGGCAAAAAAATTAAAATTTGCTATGAGCGATGTTAAAGGTAAAAGATCTAATAATATAAAATAAATTAGAATAAATTAGAAAGAAATAAATAAATAAATGAAAATCAAAATAGAATAAAAAAAAAATTAAAATATAAATGAATAGATAAATATAACTAAAAAAATAATAAAAATATATATATAAATAAATTATACTGCCTTTCTATTTGTTATTACTCGATTAGCTAACTAATAATTTAAATATTTAGAAGATAAGAGCACAAAATTTCAAAATGATGCTATAGACTTGACCCAATCAGATAAAAATGCTGCAAACTTACATGCCAGCGTTGAAAACGATACTGATGACCAATGCACCGATAAAGAAAATTCGAATAATTCAGATAATATAGATGCATCTGAAAGTATAGACACACCCTAAATAATTTAATCATCTTTTATTTTATTTTTGTTATTTTTTTCTTTAACTAAGTAATCAAAATAAATTTAGATGATTGATGTAAAATTTACATTAGCTTATTACTAAATTGAGATAAACAAAAAAGAAAACATAAATAAATAAAACACTGATCTTGACACATAAATCATGTATAAAAACCACGTTATCTATCAAGTTCATATTGAAAGTTACTTTTGTGAATATAAAAAAAACAAAATAAAAAGTAAAATTTTAAAAATTTATAAAATAAATCCGACAAGACTTGAAACAAAAAAAAAAAACATACATTACCCATCTTAATCTACAAATCTTATTTTACAAAATATTGAATATGAGTAGAAACTCGAATTATTCTATTCAATGCTTCTCTATTCACGAATATGAGAGTGATTTTCTATTAAACACATCTGAAGGAAATTCAAGCACAAATTATGATAACATTTTCCGGTCTTATATTTATCACAATGAAATAAATCGATTTGACATAAACAATCTCATGTTGCTATCACAGCATAACCAATCTACTTATTCACCCTTAAATTTCCCTTCTTGGAAACCATCTCCTATATTAAAGAAACTTCTTCGTGAATTCGAAACAAAAATCTTGCATGATCATCCTCAAATTCCCTGCTGTTACTGTTCAATTTTAATGTATCACTCCTCGACCCAATGGGTAACATATGATCCAAATGAAGATTACACTTTAGCTATAGCATTTCTGCACATACCTGTTTACTTACACCATTTTACCGACAAACCTAGTAAAGTAGCTATTTGTAAGAGTTGTAAAAACCTCAAAACTAGAAGGTTTTCTTCTGTTCTATCAAACGTACCTCATGAAATAAGCCTGGTGCCAATGAAACACAGAAAATATCTCTCGCTGATCTACATAATGTGTTCATTGGGCCGCACTTCAGGATCGAACCCTTATACCATATACTAATTTCTACAAGGCGATTTTTTCTTAAGTAAAAATGCCCATGCACTCGAATTATACTCTGGTATGGTTGGTGCTTTTTTAAACCAAAATGAACCATTATACTGATATCATAAGACCCTTTCTGATGCGAGCAGTTGGCTAAAAAGAAATAATCCAATATTCCGACAGTATAAAAATTTACCTAATATCAGTTCTCTATCACCATCAGATCCAATCCCGATTCCTTTACCTTTAGCAAGACAATCTCAAGGAAACACTCATATAACTCAATCACAAAATAGCTCTACAATTCCTGATATCGTAATCCCAAACAATGAATTTCCTTAAAAAACACATGACGAAGACCTGAGATACAAGAGACTCATGGCCAGGTTTATGAAGCTAAATGACTTAATATTACTGATACCTTATAGTGACCCTGACCTTGAAACAATAATCTTCCCTGATTTGTTCCTTACAGAAAAAGGTCACTATGAAAACCTATGTAGTCAACTAGACTTTCGATCGAGTAAAGAAAGCTATGGAAAGTATATCAAACTTAGAATGCTTTGCCCGGATCCAAAGTTTAGATTACACTGGCACTGGCCACACTGGTCATACTTGAATCTCGAAAAAAAGCGTAATTTTCAATACAATTATAGATTGTTAAATCAAAAAAATGTGTTTTAGGAATATCACCTAACAAGAGCAGATCTTATAGGTATGCCTACAATTATATGCTACTTATTCATTTTTTCACATAAAATTGCTAAGATATATACACTTATGCATATTTATGTATATATCCGTACAGTTGATTATCTATATAATGGAAATCTGCGCTAAAAAAATCTTAGTTATATAGCTTATTTATTATTAATTATTCATGACTATTATAAATTATTATATGTTAAAACTTTATTTCTTTGTGATTCATCTGTTAAACTATGAATTCAGTTAATAAATTCTATATTGATAGTTAACAATATATTTATTTTTTGTTTCTATTATGTTTTCTTCCTTTTATCATCATTGTTTGCATTTCTAATTAAAAAAAAAATCGATTAATAAAAATCAGAACAATAATCCAATTCATTATTAACTAAAAATACACTTACATTTACAGGAAAAAGTGTGTATACCGGTCAGCCAATGATCGATGAATCAAAAATAACTGCTGTATGCTCGAGCTTATGAACTGCTGTCCCTTATTTCAAAAAAAAGGAACTTCAAGTAAATACGATGCTTCGATCTTACAGATTACCGCAAATCTTTTACACAATGACCATGGCAGAAGACAAATGGAGCCACCTTAAAGAAATTCTTTTATCAACTGACAACAAAGACCTCTTATCGACAAACTGTCCACTACATGTCTACTTATTCTATCACCATAAGCTCAACAATATACGTAATAAATTATGGAAAAATCAAAAATTAACACAATAAGGTAAACTTGAGAATTATTTTAAGCATGACGAATTCCAGAATAGAGGCACAATACATACTCATGGTTTCGTTTATACAAGTGTTAAGATCTCTGAATTAATTGAGAAAAATACAATAAAGGCTGACTTACCAAATCAAAGTCAAGAACCAGAGTTATATCAATTAGTTGCATCTTATCAAATTCACAGGTTGGTACAAAAAATTTTTTCAAATTTTTTGTGCTTAGTTTTGTACTTCTGCATATTTGCAATTTAATCTAAAAACATTAATAAGTAAAATAAAGCAGAATAACAAATAATAATAATAATGATGATGAGTAATAAATCAAATATAAAAATTAAAACAAACAAGTAAATAAATAAGTAAATTAATCAATACCTTTATTTCCCATTTGATAATATCGATATAGATGCCACTCAGATAAATGCGGTGGCCCCACCCTCAATGAGATATCATGCAGAAAAGGATTCCCCTAACCTCTATCAAGTACAACATATAGAGATAATCACTCGCTTAGATACATATATAAAAGAACAAAGGAAGAAGACCGTTGAATAGTACCTTACTATCCAGAAACCTTGATGATATGGCAAGGCCATATCAATTTCCAATATGTTACTACGACAGGATTTGCCAAATATGTGACGAAATACATAATAAAACCTGAGGCTTCAGAAACTTTTGATATTGATGATCATGACAGTTATAGAACTCACATACAAGCAAGAAGACTAGGAGCAATGGAATTAATGATCTTGCTTCTTCAGTATCAAATAACAAGATCAACGGTCTCTATTCAATACTTGCCCTCAGCACCCTCTCATCTATGCACTAGAGCAGTAAAACCGATACATCTCCAGCTAAGATCTCTTGAAAACGATAACAATAACAATGAAAAACCTTACTGGGACGGTGCAATAGATAAATACTTTAGCTGCCCGAATACAGATGAGTTCAAGAACATAACTTACCCTGAATACTTCTGAGACTATAACCTAAAAATCACATTGGCGTCACAATCTGCAAGAAGATCTTCAATAAAAGACCAAAAAAATCACTTCATAATCAAAAGAAAAAAACCCCTTCTTTTAAGATTCGTAAACTACAAAGTAGAGGATGGTAAGTTAAATAGATTTAACTTATAACAACGTATAAAATATTTTTATATTGCTTTGTGCTAATTATAATAATCACATAGTATAATTTTTACACTTACTAAATGTATACAACTATCAAATTAATAATAATGTTAATTTTTCTCATTTTAGGTGATCCAACATCTCATAATGAAAATTCTATGCTACTCAGAAGAAGAGCTCCTTGAAAACCATCTGAGCTATTTCGAAAAATTCAAATTCCTATTCCCTGACCAGTATGAATGAGAAATAAATAGATTAACCAACATCACCATATTGCAAGAAATCCGAACCTCGATCACATATAAAGAGATTATAAAAAATATATTAACTGGTCTAAACAACATAGAACTTCACGAAATAATTCTCAAACAACTAATTTCACTAGAACGCAAGACACCATCCATTAACCCACATTTTACACTAATGTTAGACACAGACCAGTATCTAACCTATGACCTTATTTGTAATTCATGGGGACCAGAGCATAAAGGCAAATATCCTTACTTCTTCCTGACTGGATCTGCTAGTACAGATAAATCCTACCTGCTACACATGATTATTAATCTCTTAAATTCGAAAAAAATCAATCACATTATAATCATTCCGACTGGCATGGCTGCGCAGAATGTTGGTGGAAAAACGATTCATTCTGCCTTAAAAATAAGACAAACCCATTCATATTATGAAACCTTAGTGGCTCATGATCATAATACAAAAGAAAATTTAAAAAAAATTGAAGCTGTAATAATAAAAGAAGTATTTATGATTTCTAGTGATTTATTTTCATTTATAAGTAACCTATTTGGCTCAATTCATAATAACTCAAAACTATTTGGAGGAGTTCCCATACTTCTAGTCAGGGATCTTTTCCAATTACTACCAATAAATGCCCAATACATATTTCACTCACCAGTTTGGAAAAGTTTCTTTTCACTATTCCTAACCCAACCTAAAAGGCAGAGAAACGACTCTAGCTTCTATAATATACTTCAAGAATTATGATATGGCCGTCTATCCGAGACATCAAAAAAAATGATTAATAACAAAATCGAAAACTCCAATCTCAATTACGATACCATTTCATCTACTTACCTCGTAGGTATACATAAAACTGCTAAAGAGATTAATAAAATAATCTGCAATAACCTTTTGATCAATGAATGCAGAATTGATTCGATAAACTCAAAAGCTGTTGACACCCTCAATCATAATCTACTTGACAAGAATAACAATAATCACCTAAACTTTAGCCGTTATACCAACTTACCTGATGAAGTAATTTTAAAGGAAGGTGCAAAAGTTATGTTCCTAAACAATAAACTATTTGACCACAATATCTGCAATGGTACAATCGGCATGATCATAAGCATAATAAATAACCAAACCATTGAAGTCACGTTTTCAACCACAACAAACATCATCAAGCTAAATGTACAAAAAAAGACATCCTATTTTAACATTAACGGAAACCTAGCATCCAGAAGTCAATTCTCTATTTAGAACGCATTTGCTCTTACAATCCACAAAACCCAAGAATTAACCTTACCTCACACTACGATGAATGTAGACCAAAGAATATTTGCGGAAGGCCAAGTCTACATTGCAATAAGCAGAGCTCCTACGTGGAAATCCATTAATATCATTAACTTTGATTTTAATGCTATTAAAATAAACAAATCAGTAATAGAAGAATATGCATGACTGAATGAAATACACAGAAAAGGATTAGCATATATGCTAAATAAATGATCTTATCTTATAGTTCCTTTTTTCTATCCTTACCGTCTCTAGAACTTTATTACACACCCCCAATCTGAAAATTAAAAGATTGTCAATCACAAGATATTGAATCATTAATTTAAATATGAGAGCTGCATAGGAAAAATCATAAGTAAAATTTTATTCGTTAATCACTATGCTGATCTTAATAATTTAGCACTGGGGTGTGACCAACTATATAAGAAATGATTATTTATCATACATAGTTATTTGTCACACCCCAGTGTCAGATTATTAAAATCGACATAGTGATTATTAAACCGACACATATGATTACATCACTACATCTGTTATCTTAACATCCACTAATCACATTTGTTTTACTATGTATAAAAAATATCAATACCTAGAACTTATTAAAATAAATCAAATTTTATAAAAACTTACAAATTTCAACCATAAATTCATATGATATCGTCAATTATTTACCCTTGATTTTACTTCCATTTATTAAAAAATTGTTTTTTTCGAAAATTACAAAATTAAATTTATATATAAAAATTAAAAAGAAAATTTATACATAATAATTATCACTATTTAACTCATACAGGAGAATCCCCAAAATTCTGAATCAGAATACTTTGGAATTATGATCGGCAGGGCCGGACTTGACTAATTTTGTCTAAGATAAAAGTTTTACTAACAAAACCATACCTTACTCATTAAGTAAAGCTGCCCAGCTAATAATATTGACCCAGAAATGGTTAACTTGTATTACTAAATGCCAGACTAAATCTGATACATCCAACCCAGAATTTTGGAAATCCTCCTGTGTGAATTTCACAATTTACTATTCATAAACTTCATCCTATAAATTCAGTCATTACACAAACTCCCTGCACATAAGCAAGCGCATAACTTGTTAGAGATTACAATTAGTCACATGTGTACTTTTGGTAATTAATTTAAGTAATCTGCTTATATATTTATTATATAATTTGCAACAGGTAGATAAACACTATGAGATAAACAGTATAAGATAAACAATATGAGATAAAACTGTGATCTGATTGGCTACATTTATAATTAGACCATGTAACTTATTTATATACATTATAATATTTTTTGTAAAGCTAATAACAATATATATAATACTTATAAAATTTAACCTCTATATAAACACAATCTCTTTATATACATTAAATTCTTAAAACCAAGGTTGTGATTATAGAAGGAAAAGACTACATGTGCACCTGTGCAAAGCACAAGTCTTCAGCTAGTTACTATATAAGTTCTATACTAGATGTTATACCTATAAACCAATTAGAAATTTTGCTTATTTAAATTCTCTGCATATACAATCCTTCTTGTATTATAAGAACATCTTCAAAACTACATCCATCCAAGTTTCTGATGCTGATCAGTACCCTTAAAATTACTTTATCCTTGACAGAAAACTTACTAGAATCTTTATATCCCACACATACTAACCTAGTTTTATGCAATATGCTATAGTTACCTAATACTTGCAGTCACAAAGATTATTTGTTTAGCTACATTATACTATTTCTATTCTTGTAAAGTTCACTAGAACTCTAATATCTATCTTCTTAACATCTTCTTCATCATCCTTTACTAGCTACAACTCAGAACTGACAGACTACCAATATTATTTTTTTAAAAGTTGTTTTTTAGTTTTTATTTTGTCAAGTTTATCTTTTTTTTATCTGCTATGTTTTTTATTTTTTTTGTTATTGTATCTATTAAGTCTGTTTTAGATACTCTTTCTTTTTATCTAAGTCTTTGACTGTGATTTTGATACTGATTTTTATGTAACCTTCAATTTTCTTTTTTGTAGATTTTGTGTTCTGATGATTAGCAAGAAGAGTTAATCAAAGATGCTTTAAACTATTGTGTATTAATCTAACATTAATTTAATAAAGTATTTACAAATTGACATAATAAAAAAAAAATAAAAAAATTAAATAAAATATTAATATGTTTGTAAGATTTTTCTTAAATAAATTAGATTAAAACAAAATAAAAAACAGTATAAAGCAGACAATTTATCAAAAAATATAAATTTTCCAGGAACCCGGAACGTCATATGACGGACTTGATGAAGCATGAGTTATCTCACAAGTTCGGTGACATGCGAGGCTACACGCCGTCCGATGATCTTCGCAGAATGATAACTCTGGCTTTTAAGAGATGTGACAGATCCTAAAGGTGTCTAAGGACCTTCAGGATAGTGAAGAGAGGTAAAAAAAAAACAATAATAAATATATATATAAACAGATTTTAGAAAATCAAATAAAATCTAAGTATTTTATTTTTATTATAATCTATAAAATATTTACTAATAAATTGGTATATTTTTTTTTGATTCTTTAATATTTCACTAATAAATTGTCTTGTAATAATTTTAATCCTTTAACATTTACTAAGAAAGCAATTTTACTGTAAGACATGTTCTAACCTTAATTCCAAACTAATTCTTATTCTAAAAATCAAAAACAGATTTACAATCAACCTCTCTAAATGCACCTCTAAATGCACGTCCTACGAAACACCTCCCTAAATGCAAGTCTTCCCATGGACCCAACTAATATTACATCTACAAACTTTACCTCTCTAAACGCAACACCTCTCTAAGTGCACGTTTAACTAAATTTTTATATATGGTCCCGTCGTATTGCATTTAGAGAGGTCTGTATATAATTTTCCCAATACTCATTTCACTGACACCTATTGCAACTATAATGACTAATACCTATCCTTACACTAACGTAGTCTTACCCCTAACCCTAAAATAACTCGGGAATGATACAGTCGGGGAAATATTTTGTCGGGAAAATGGTTGTCGAGAAAATTATTGTCGGCAAAATAATACTGTCGGAGAAATGAATGTCGGGAAAGTGGCGTCGCTAAAATTAGTGCCATCGTTTTTATTTTTTTGCTAAAATCTAGGGATGATAAAAAATCGCTTTTAATAATCTTTATTGATTTAATAAATGGTTTAAAAATCAGAAGATTCGAATTTATAATCATGATCATAATCATATTCATAACCATATCATTATTATTAATCACGATTTCAATATGTGACGATGTTTTAAACATGTAAAAAATCACTTTAAGGCAATATAAAAAACTGTTTTGAAACACTTTTAAATCATTTGCCATCTCTACTAAAAATCATGAAACTTTTTTGGGTGGCTCCACAACTTTAGATGCGACAGATATAATCCTTCACTTGATGTTCTGTGTTACTAATAAATTTTTTGTTTGCTAAACCAAAAAAGGAGAGATGCATTCAATTAATTTTTTTTATCTTAGATTGAGATGTTCATTGATGCAACCTAAAATTCTAGAGTTTTATTTAACGTTAATAAAGTCAGAGTGATTTGTTTGATACAGTTTTGTTATTCGAACAATGGAAAATCCAATTTGCGTTTCAAAGGGCTTTAATGACCTCCAAGCCTATCTAAATGAACAATTGAGCCAGCGAATAATGTTCCTTGATGGTGCCATGGGTACTGTTATTCAAGAATTGCGTTTAACTGAACAAGACTTTCGGGGAGAGCTATTTAAGAATCATCCTAAAGATCTTAAGGGAAACAATGACATTCTAGTGTTGACGCAACCAGAAAAAATTAAACAAATTCACATTCGTTATCTGGAAGCAGGATCAGACTTTGTCGAAACAAATACTTTTAGTAGTACTTGTATTAGTCAAGCTGACTATGCTTGTGAAAAAGTTGCATATCAATTAAATAGAGAATCTGCTAGGCTGGCTAAAGAAGCTTGTATGGAGGTGATGAATTTTCAAATTTTATATAATATTTTTTTTTTAAAAAATTTTTTTTTTAAATCCTGATTCCCTTTATTTTATTCAATAAAGGTTACAGCAAGAGATCCAACTAAACCAAGATTTGTCTGTGGTGCGTTGGGTCCAACAAATAGGACTTGTTCAATTTCCCCCTCTGTTGAAAATCCAGCATATCGTAATGTTACATTCGATGAGCTTGTTGACGCATATACTGAACAAGTTAGAGGTCTTCTGGATGGTGGCGCCGATATTTTATTAGTGGAAACGATTTTTGATACTTTGAATGCTAAAGTGTGTATGATCAAAATTACAATATCAATATATATCAAGTATGCATCATATTAAATTTATTATTTAATATCAGGCTGCCCTTTTTGCAATTGACACACTCTTTGAAGAAGGCTCTTATAAAAAAACTCCAATATTTATTTCTGGTACTATTGTCGATCAGTCTGGCCGTACGCTCAGTGGTCAAACTGGTGAGGCCTTTGTAGTCAGTGTCAGTCACTCTCATCCTTTGGCTATCGGGTTGAATTGTGCCTTAGGAGCCGAGCAAATGCGCCCTTTTATTCAAAATATTGCAAATTTTACAAGCTCATTCGTAATTTGTTATCCTAACGCGGTGGGTACTAAATCTTTATGGTACTTAAAAATATTATTTGGTATGTTATATTAACCATTGGTTTTTACAATAGGGTCTTCCAAACACGTTTGGTGAATATGATGAGTCTCCCTCAATGATGGCTGCGAAAGTTCAAGAATTCGCTCGAGATGGTTTAGTCAATATAATGGGCGGTTGTTGTGGTACTACGCCCGCTCATATAAAGGCCATCGTTGATGCTTGTTCTCATTACAGGCCTCGAGTTCTGCCACCTGATGTTCGTTTGGAAAATATGATAATATCCGGTCTTGAAGTCTTGAAAATTAACAAAGAATCCAACTTTGTTAATTTAGGTGAAAGGTGTAATGTAGCTGGTTCAAGAAAATTTTGTCGTCATATTCTTAACGGTGAATATGAGGAGGCTATGGCAATTGCAAGATCTCAAGTTGAAAATGGTGCTCAAGTTATAGATGTTAATATGGATGAAGGAATGTTGGATGGGAAAGCTGCGATGACTAAATTTTTGAATTTAATTTCTAGCGATCCTGATGTTGCTAAGGTAAATCTTATTACTTTTATGTTATTAAAGTCATGATTTAATTCAATAAGTTTTATTATTTTTAAATTTAGGTTCCTATTATGGTAGACTCTTCAAATTTTGATGTTATATTGGCTGGATTAAAATGTGTACAAGGAAAGTGCATAGTTAATAGTATCAGTTTGAAAGAAGGCGAAACTGATTTTATTAAAAAGGCAAAGATTATTCGAAGATTTGGTGCCGCTGTTGTTTGTATGGCTGTAAGCTTCTTGACAAATAATTTATTGTATTTATTATGTTGCATTATTTTTTTTCATGAATTTTTTTTAATTCATATATATGTATATATATTTTTCTCAAACTATAATTACTCTCAACGAACAATAACGAATAATGACAGTTTGATGAGATAGGTCAGGCCGATTTAAAAGATCGTAAGGTGGAGATATGCACAAGATCGTATAAGATCTTGACAGAAAAAGTTGGATTTAATTCTAATGATATTATTTTTGGTATGTTTATCAGATTCACTTTTTGCATTATCATATTTGAATTAATTTATTACTCCAAAATAGATCCGAATATCCTGACCATTTGCACGGGTATGGAAGAACATAATAATTACGCTGTAGAATTTATAGAAGCAGCTAGAATAATAAAACAAACATTACCTGGTGCAAAGGTAATATAACTAAATAATGATATAAGTAAATAAGGCTTATTCATTAAAAAATTTGGTATTTTCTTTTATATTTTAATTGATGTGTTTCAGGTCAGTGGCGGTATTTCGAATTTATCATTTTCTTTTCGTGGAATGGACAAAATCAGGGAAGCAATGCATAGTGTGTTTTTGTATCATGCAATTAAAGCTGGTATGTTTAATGTTAGCCATCCATGATAATTTTTTTTTAAACTCGCAATTTCTAATTTCATTGTTTTCATTAATTTTTTAATGTTTTTTACATTTAGGTCTTGATATGGGAATCGTAAATGCAGGATTCTTGACAATTTATGATGATATCCCAAAAGACTTATTACAGCTATGCGAAGATGCAGTATGGAACAGAGATCCTGATGTAACTGAAAAGATTTTAGTATATGCACAAAAGTTTGGAAAAGGTACCAAGAAAGATGATACTGAAGAAGAATGGAGGAAGGTTGATGTACAGTCTAGAATTTCTTACGCCTTGGTTAAGGGTGTCGTAAAGTATATAATCGAGGATACTGAGGAAGCAAGACAACTGGTTGGTTTAACAAAATTAATTCTGATCCGGACATAGTTACCATATTAGAGTTTGGGCCAAACTTACTATGTTATTAATAATAGTACGTTATGCCGGAATCTGATAAATGGCACAATGATAAATAGCTTTTCATTAAATTACTTGTACTTTTAATAAAAGTTATAGAAGAGATAATTGCGGTCTGATTGTGATAACCCGTTTAAATCAGTCTGGCAATCTTAAGATATTTGTTAAAAATGTCTTTGCGATCACACGAAAAATTCCTATGATCACCTAGACATTTTATCATGATTATACAACTTTTTATTAGAAGTACAGGTACGTTCACTTAGTAATAAAAATTTTTATCATAGTAACTTTTGCCAAATTCCAGAATATAATATTTTCATAATATAGCTGGATCAGCTGATAGCGTTTTTTTATTTTTTATTTAATGAATTATTATTTTTATTCTAAACTTTAGTTACCAAGGCCACTGGATGTTATTGAAGGGCCACTGATGACTGGTATGAGTACCGTTGGTGATTTGTTTGGTGCAGGTTTGTTAACTTTCATGTAATAAAACTCAACCTATTTTACATATCAGAAACGATTAAACTTTTTTTTTTTTGCTATACATAGGTAAAATGTTTTTGCCTCAAGTGATTAAATCAGCACGGTAAGCCTTTTATCTAAATTGAAAATATTCATTGTTTATTAAAGTTTTTAAAGTTTGCTTCATCATTGTCTAGTGTTATGAAAAAAGCCGTTGCACATTTAATTCCATTTATGGAAGCCGAACGTCAAGCACAGTTTGCAGCTAACGGAAATGAAGTAATGGATATTGGTCCACAACATGCTGGTGTAGTAGTCTTAGCTACAGTGAAAGGAGATGTTCATGATATTGGCAAAAACATAGTTGGTGTCGTACTTGGTTGTAATAATTATAAGGTAATTTTTCTTTTTTTTTTCTATTTAATATTAGTCCAGGATCGTTTTAACGTGGTTTTTGATTTTTTTTTGAAGGTTATAGATTTAGGCGTGATGACTCCGTGCGAAAAAATTATTGAAACTGCTCTTAATGAGAAAGCAGATATTATTGGACTGTCAGGATTGATTACACCATCCTTAGATGAAATGATAAATGTTGCTAAAGAAATGGAAAGACGTGGCTTAAATGTAAATGCCTCTATAATCAAATTTGTATTTGCACTTATACATTTTTAATGTTTTGTTGCTTATGAATGTTACAGATCCCATTATTGATTGGCGGTGCAACGACATCCAAGGCTCACACAGCTGTAAAAATTTCACCAAAATATACTCAACCAACAATTCATGTATTAGATGCTTCAAAGAGTGTTGTTGTGGTAAAGATATTTTCAGCATTTCTTTTAATATCAGTTCAACACAATTTGCTAATAACAAACCTTAAATCAGGTATCAAATCTTTTAGATGCCAAGTTGAAAGAAGACTTTTGGGAGGATATAGCAGAAGAATACGAAGAAATTCGTGAAGACCACTATTCTTCGTTAAAAGATAAAAAGCACCTGTCATTAAAAGCTGCTAGGGAACAAGGATTTAAGATAAATTGGAAAGCCCAATCATCACCAGTGAAGCCGTCGTTCATTGGGAAGAGAGTGATTAATGAGTATGATTTGAAACGAATTTCCAAGTATATTGACTGGAATCCGTTTTTCCAAGTTTGGTAAGAAATTTTTTCGGATGGAATTTGGATGAAAGGTAAATTAATTGTTAATGAATATTATTTGTGAATTAGGCAATTGCGTGGAAGGTATCCCAATCGTGGTTTTCCAAAGATTTTTAACGATGAGCATGTTGGCAAGTGTTATTATTAGCATGAGATTAGATCAAGATCATTTATTTTAATTTGATGCTTACATTTCGTTTCATGCAAACTTAGGAGCGGAAGCAAAAAAATTATACGAAGAAGCGTTAGTTTTGATTAAAAAGATCATTGATGAAAAGTTGTTCGTTGCTAAGGGAATTGTAGGACTTTACCCCGGTATGACCCATATCTAAGTAGTTATGTAAATTTTCTTATAAATTATTGACGGTTTAAATTGTTTATGTAGCCAATAGTGTAGATGATGATATACAAGTATGTTAATTTAAACAATTTATTATATATCTTAATATGTGAATTTCTATCTTGTAACAAACTTTTATTTTTATAGGTTTATGAGGATGAATCACGATCTAAAGTCTCTGCAACGTTCTTTGGTTTGAGGTACATTTGTGGTTGTTAAGATAAATGCTGAATTTTTTTTTATCGATAATGTCTAATATATTCTTTAATAAATAGACAACAATCTCAAAAAGAAACTGGCGATCCATACTTTTGCCTTTCCGATTTTATTGCGCCTAAGGATTCTGGCATATCAGATTATTTAGGCTTATTTGCTGTAGGAATATTTGGGGCAGAAGAATTATGCAAAAAATTCCAGGAAGATCACGATGATTATAATGTAATAATGACAAAAGCAATCGCAGATAGATTTGCGGAAGGATTTGCGGAATGCTTACATGAAGATATACGGAAAGAATTATGGGGATTTAGTCCAAATGAAGACTTATCATTAGGAGATATGTTAAGTGTGAAATATCAGGGAATTCGACCTGCTCCTGCATATCCGTCACAACCTGATCATCGTGAAAAAACAACAATGTGGAAATTGATGAACGTTTATGAAGAAACTGGAATTGAGTTGACGGATGGACTAGCTATGTTACCTGCAGCTAGCGTATCAGGTATATTTGATTAATACTCATCGTATTTTCGCGGAAGAACGCCCATAAGCGTTATTTCGAATTTTGGCCCGACTTAAGGCCAAAATTCGAAATTACGCCCTGCGCGTTATTACGCGAAAATACGGTAAATACTTAGATTTTATTGTATATTCTTACGAAACTTTTTTATTCCGTAATTACAGCTTTGGTATTCGCAAATCCCGAATCGCAGTATTTCGCAGTTGGAAAAATTGAAAAAGATCAGGTTAATAAATATTATAATTATTGTCGGAAATCTGGGTGATGTTGAAATTTGGAGAAAATAAGTAGTTTAACCAGTATGATGTTCAGTGTACAGCGGAAAGCGTGCACAATATTCATTGAGCACATTATATACATAGACTTCATTTCACCGATCTCCAGATTTCAGCGTCGTCTACTATAATTGCTAAGTGGTAAGATTAATTGTAATTTATTACTTTTTATAGGTTTTAAGCTATACAGAGCGTATCAATAAGGATTTGGAAGAAACTGAAAAGTGGCTACGTCCAATTTTAAATTATGGTAAGTTGTTTATATTTTTATATTGCAGTAATATATTATAAATAATCGTTTTTGGTTTTTACTTATCTTTAATTAAAACTTAGATTAGGGAACGAGTATTTGTTGATATTAGTTAATGAAACTAGCGATAGACGTTTATAAATATTAAGATTATTTTATTTATATATTTAATTTATATTTATTGTAATATGTATATAGTAATATATTACTATATGCTGAATAAAAAGTATTCGATAGTTTATTAAAAAAGACTTATAAATTAAAGGCGAAAAATTGTCCTTTCAAATTTTAATTTTTATCGAAAATCATTAGATGGATTTAATTTAGGTATTATAAATATATAGAAGTTCTTAGAATTTCATTTAGGCATCATTTTATAGATGTTACTTAGTCATGTGATATTATAGTTTATCTTTCAAGATTATTCGTCCATAGTCAATTAGGTAGATCTTTTTTTTTTTTGCAACAAACGGACTACCGGAGTTTGGTTGTACAAAATCCTATAAATTAGTCGAATATAAAAAGCCACCATATCCATTTTAAATTCCAAAATCTTCGTTCCGTAATAAACTCAGACAAACTGATTAAGTCCAACTTGCCACCCAAAATATATTGATAGTTTGATACATATCCTATTCACTCGCAATCATGGCCGAAACGGCAACAAACCTCTCTGAAAATGCTACCTCAGAACCTACACCTGTCGCAGGACAAAAAATTAATTCATTTAAAGTCGGGTGGCTCTTTGTACATGAATATTACACCATCCTAAACAAAGAACCGTGGCGTCTGCATTGCTTTTACGGACGCAATTCCATCCTCATCCGAGGTAATGAAGGTCAAAAAGTCATGCCGATTGTGGGCGAGCAGGTTAGTACTAGCTTTATTCTTCGTGATCAATAGTATAATGTTACTATATTTTTATCTCTTAGCGTATATACTGCGATTTCGTATGTATATATGAAATTACAATCGAGAAAAAAGTTTTTATTTACTTTGCGTCTAACAAATGATTGTTAGCACAATATTCTGTTTCCTTTAAGAATCTTCAATGCTATTTCTTTTCACAGCGCATGCTATTATTGCTTTTATAACATGCTAATGAAAGGCTATCTTTTTTGAGTATGGCGTAGCCTGACTCATTAGCATGAAAAAAAAAAAGATTTTTAGTAGTTATTTAGGTTGCATTTTAGGTGGCAACAAGATTTTTTTTTTTTTTTTTTTGAAGCTATCAAAATACGTATTCTACGACCTTTGAATAGTTAATCCTAAAAAGAATCTAATTCATAATTCATCATATTTATTGAATATCAATAGGAAATACGAGAGAAAATCAAGCAACTCAATTTAGACAATTGCCGTGTTCTTGTCACCAACGTGGACAGTCAATCATCTCTTAACGGCGGGATAGTTGTTCAAGTTCTTGGTGAAATGAGTAATGGGAACGAAGAGACTTCTAGAAAGTTTGCTCAAACTTTCTTCCTTGCCGAGCAACCTAACGGATATTACGTATTGAATGATATTTTTCGATTCCTGAATGATGATGATGATGTAATTTCTGAATGTGATGAGGTCGATGAAGGAGCCATCGAAGAGTCTGTAGGAAACGAAGGAGGCGAGGAGGATATAGGTTCATCACCCACTGGCACCCTCGTTGAAGAGCCGATTAATGTCCCCACTATAATCGAAGGGGAAAATGCCGTTGCACATACGCGTGAACCTAGTGCGTCAGATGTAACAAATAGCACTCCAAATACCAACGAAACCGAGTCTGTCCCCAGTGCACCTTTACCATTAATGTCGGCATCTACCTCTGAAGGGCAACAAACTAATTCATCTCTGGTAGCGTCTAACGACGCGTTAAACGCATCCTCCGATAAATCTCAGGCCACTCAAATTGCAGTCGGTTCACCTTCAGTTCACGCGAACAAGATTCCGGCTATGAACGTGGCGGTTAATATTCAACCGGTTTATCCGAATAAAGCACCAGTTCCTAATGCTACGATCATAATGCCCTTTGCAAATCAAGCATCACCACCTTATATTAATCAACAACCAGTTCCTACAATGATTAATGGGCCATATCAAAATATGAAACAATCTACCAATGGTCAAATTGGTAATGCATCTCCTACTTACGCTCAACGTTCGAATACGCCCAGACCGCAAACAGTTGGAAGTGGCCCAGCATATGCTCAGGCATCAAGTTCCAGAACACAAACGACTGGCAATGGTCCAGCATTTGCGCAACAATTGCAAATCCCTAAAGTTACGTCGCAAGCAGTTCCACATACTGTAAACGGTTTGCATACATCAGCTCCTCGATCGACCTCCCCGGTTTCTCAAAGATCTGTTTCTCCAGTTGCGAATGATCATAAATCATCCTCGAATATTGTCAACGGTGAGCCTGGAGTTGTCAATCAATCTCTTGAAAACGGGCAATCTATTGCTACCAAGCCGGCAGGCAATGTTTCGGATAATCCTGAAGTTGCTTTTGTGAAACCGGCATCAACTGTCGTAAATGGTGAAAACCTTTCTAAATCAACATCTAATGTCACTAACGGCGAATCTACTTCTGTGAAATCAGCAGTTAACGGTGAACTAGTTACGCACACAAATGTTCAAAGCGGCCCTGACTCTAAAAAAATTGCAGCTACAACTAACACCGCTAACGTAAAAGACGAGTCGGTAGTTAATGTCGTTCAGGCTTCCGGCACAAATCAACAAGCCGCACAACCAGCTCCAAAGCCACAAGGACCCCAAACTTGGGCAAGCACCCTCTTCAAAAGTAGTGGTAATACGCAAACCGAGTCTAAGCCTCAAAGTGTTCCCGCAACACTTCCTACACAAAAGGTACAGCAAAAACCTGCGCCTCAAAGTTCGCATCCATCTCAACAAACTCGGGACAACAGAAACTTTCGCCAGGAAGGACTAAAAGGAAATAATCGCCGTAACAGTGGTCTGTATTTTTCGACCTTTATTACTATTATTGTTCAGACTCGTGATATTAAATGACATTAATTGCATATACTATTTAGATACAAACTTTTCTATCTATGTTAAAGGGATCTCTACAAAAGTGTCCTATGATCAATTGAGATCTTCGCTCAGTTCTTTTGGGCAGATTAGACATCTTGATCTTATTTACAATAAGGTAAATACAACATTTAGTAATAAATTTATTGATTCATTGACGCAATTTTAACTTTTTCCTTTTAATATAGTCTTGTGCATTCGTCGAATTTATTGATGAAGAATCGTACAGAGAATGTCTTAATCGTCATACTCTTACTATTGCTAATCAATGTTTAACCTTTGAAGAACGCCGCCCGTCTCGCAATAATCTTAACCGTGGTGGCAATAATAAACCGCCTCGCGGAAGAGGCTATTAAATTGTATACGAAGTAAAAATAGTCGAATTGAAAGCGAAATGTGCTGGTAGCATGGACTTTAATCGATTCTTGTAAAAATTTTTCCTTTTTTTTCTTTTTTTTTTTTTTTTTTTTTTTGCTCAATTTTCCTGGGTTGATAAGGTAAAATAATTTTAACTATAGGGTAATATAAACTTTAGTGATGAGATAATTTTTCTAAATCTAGAGAATAGGCGCATAGATTACTATCCTAAACAATACATGTTTCTTTTATAGGTAGAATTATTTTAACGCCAGAAAAGATTTCTAGGATACTAGATTATATTTGATGTGTAGTAGTCGATATAAATTTGCATTTCTTTTTTTTTTTTTTTTTTTTTTTTTTTTTTTTTTTTTTACGTTTTATACAAAGAAAAAATCACCAAAAGTATTATATATAATTTTTTTAATCATTCTTTAGTATATCAAGAACATAATTAACCATCATTTTTATTATACAGTATTAGTGAAAAATTGCACATATATACATCACTACACATCAAACATTTATCATTTGTAATAAAAATTTATCATTTGTAAATACGTACGTAAAAAAAATACATTAGCTGAATTTTGTAATACAAAATACACTATTTACTAATAATAAGGATCGTTTATTACAATACAAGGGTGCAATTACTCATGTAACTCTCATCATACGTAGTCATACTTATCGTTATTAAGAGGATTACGTAATATAATTTTAATAGTACGTGGCTGACATTCATTGTATACAGTGGCCATTTACGACGCCACTGCCTATTGTTTAAAGTAACTTTCTTGATACACCAAAAATTGCAGATTAGTATGAAAGTTTTTTGAACCAAGAATGATACTTATTGCTGGATGGCCAGCATTTAATACATTTATATTAGTTAGTCTTATATATTCTTATAAGTCACGCATGAGATTTCTGACTCCCCTAAGGATATATGTAATATCGTATCAAAAAAGAGGCTAACCAAAGCGCAATGTTTTAATACTATAGACACGTGACTAAATAAAATCAGTAATGCAGTAATGTGAAATCAAATCGCAAGGTTCGTTGTGTTGACCAAAGATTACGATTTAATTGGTTGAATAACACATCAAAATTCACGATTCGTTATCCGCGAAAAAATATAACGAAATGAATGTTTAATAAACAGTAATGATAATATCTGCTTTAACCCCAACTGTATAACTTTAGGCGTTTCCCAAAAAAGTAATTCGCTTAATAATATCACGAGCTCGCCCAAATTAATAACTCTTTTTTCCTTATTCTGTTTAATTGTAATTTTTTTGTGGCTGAATTTCATAACGATACTTAATTAAGATGTTACATATTTATCGAAGTTAGTTATAAATGAAAGATGTTACCGGACATACCAAGAAACGAAGATCCAGTTAGTGATCTTTCAGCCAACGATAATATAATCTTGATGGCTAACAACTCGCAAGCTACGGTTGAATATCCAGAAGATAATAGCGACGAGTATAATGAAACAAGTACACTGCTGCAATCCGAAATAAGTAGCCTTACTGCGGGAGGTGATGACTTTGTCAGTCAAGGAACGGCAAGGAAGTTGAATGACAAGAAAAAAGAAAAGTCAAATATATGTACTTTAAGGAATTTTATCAAGCTAGTTTTGTTGGCGATGTTTATCGCACTTATCGTTTTTCTCTTGGCTGTAAGTATAAACTTCTTTTTTGAATAATAATAGTAAGTTGCCGTTTATTGATCCTTCTTTATATTACATATTTGTTAAATAAATAACATTAGGTTCTTAAAGTCCAAAATCATATCAAGGAGTACCTTCATTACATTGAAATACATGAACGATACGGAATTGCTATATATTTATCTATCTATGTTGCCTGTGTATGGGTGTTCTTGCCGGGGTAGTTTTCCAGTTATATGTTCACGTGATACAATAATTTGTGTTCTGGTAATCGATTGTCAAACTAATCAAAATAATAAATAATTACAATATGCGTAGATCAATAATAAGCATCGCAGCTGGGTTCTTATTTAAACCCCCAATACTAGCAGGGCTAGTCATAATGTTGGGCGATGGTTTGGCAGCAACGGGTGCTTTTATTTTTGGAAGATATGTCTTTTCAGATTGGGTTAGGGCTCAAATTGAAAAAAAACCATCAATTGCCGAATTTAATCATCTCATTAATAATGTTATTACCGAAGAAGGTATATATATTTTTTTATTTATTATTGGTCACATGAATTTTATACCAGTTATACGAATAGTAAAGCTTTAAATCATTATAGGGTGGAAAATTGTTCTCATGCTACGACTGACTCCACTTCCATTTAATTTGGTTAGTTACATTTTCTCAGTTAGCATAGTTGATGTAAGTAATTTATGAAATCAAATTCGGTTTTCTTTTTCAAGTTCCAAAATGATATTAGTGCACAATATTAATGAATCTGAATTATATAGTTTTGGACTTTTTTATGGGCAACTCTTCTTGGCGTTTTACCTGGCGCATTTAATGCAGTATGGATAGGATCACTAGTCAAGAGTCTTAGTAAGCTTGACGAATATAAACTGAAAAATAAAGGTATGTATACTTATTGGTTATCATATCCCATTCGATCAAACCAATCTTTTATAACTTGTTATATATTCTAGATGTTGTGATTATGACCATGAACTTTATTTTTGTTTTATGTTGCGTGATTGCATTATCACTATTTGGAAAACGATCTCTGCGAAAGGCAATGTTGAAACTCCGGGAGTCAAAAGAATCTGAAATTCCTCCTGCTTTACCTTCAGTACCGCAATGTAAGTACACATCAAAGTGATTTTTAAAATGGTTATTTAAATTACTTTATATATACATTTTTATAGCAACGGCTGATGTAGTTATAGAAGAGGCGCTTCCTTTAGATACTAGTGCTGGTCGATTTACACGAGGAGAACGAATTACTCTTTATATTATCGGCTTGGTAACCCTTCTTAACATTGTAATCAGCGTGTCGCTTTATTATTATTTCAAATCACGTGAAAGCGATGGTCATGAGTAAGTTTATTATATTTTAGAAATTTTTTTATTAACATAGTATGTTAATCATCGTACATAATTTATTGTATTTCTATATTGTATGGTCGTAAATATTTACTTATTCGTGTAATAAACATAATTCGACTCTTCTGGTAGATTTTTAGATATGAATTTTAGTAACGTATTTATTCATATTTGAACGTATTTTTTAGTATAAAGCTGAATAGAGATAATTTTACTACGTAAAAGTTCTAATTATATTATGTATAATTAATCGGCTTTTATTAGAATTCATCAAATAATAATTTACACTAAAATTATATGGTATTATCTATATTTTGTATAAAGTCAAGAGTATTGTTATAGAACGAATAATTATTATATTATTATTGTGAAAATTAATTTATTATTATTATAATCATATCAAAAATATAAGAAAACGGGTACCTATGAAATCATACGAAGAAGTAATGCAATTGCAGTATCGTACCCATGTAAATGAATTGTTTACAATTGATTTATCACTTATGGAAACTTTAATAAGAAATGTAAAGGTTTTGGTTAATAAAGCAGACTTTAAATGTGAATTTTTATTCTAAAATTATCATAATATGTTATATTGTTTGGATCTTAAATTGTCAATTGCATCCAAGGATATATTATTTTTTGACTCAGACATTCACAATTTGTGCTGATTTTATTATTGAAAGGTGGATATATTATAATGAAAGATGTCCTAATTTATTAGATGAATATATGGGGTTGAGTTAGTAGAAATCAAGCAAATTTTTTTTAAATAAATTTTTTTAAAACTTTGAATAACAATAACTTAACAACAACTTAATCAAATTTAAATTTTTTTTTTTTTTTAAATAAGGTTTACAAACTTATAAAATTTATTTAACAAAAATTTTATTAAATTTGATCAAGTTTTTGTTAAGGTATTAGCATTTAGTTATTAAAAAAATTTAATAAAAGCAATTTGCTTAATTTTTACTGACTCAATTCTATATGATGCTTATTAAAGAATCTTTGTTTGGTTTAATAATTTTACTATAGAAATTCTTTGCACACAAGTATAATTTTAATTATAATTTTAGAAAAATCTTAAGATTAAGTAATCATATAGTTAAGACACAAATTATTAACTCTTTTTAACAATCATTTGTATCAAAATTCTCTGATAATAAACTGATAATAACTAAATAATTTACTAAATAAACCTTTACTAGTCTTCTAAATAAAATTATTTACATCAAAATTTTACATATAGATAATCTAGTACTGTATCTTCTAACCTTTTTACAGTGAGTTATATTTATTAAACTGCAAGATATTTTTTCTAAAATTTTTAAATATTTTATTAAATTAACCTTAGTTGCTATCTTAAACAAAGAGACAAACCTTTTTTTTTAAAAAAAAATATTAATAGTAGAGACAGAACTTATTTAGATCTTCATTTTGATATATTATATATTAATATTGGATTAATATTGAAAGTTTTATATAAAAAATTTTTAAATTTTTTTTATAAAATTTTTATTCTTTTTTTATAAAAAATTTATTTTTTTTTATAAGGAATCCTATATCCTAGAATGTCTAACATCTGTAGATCATTACCAAAAGTTATACTATTAATTAATTTAATACAAATTTTAACTTTTTCTATTTTTAGTTTAATTAACTAATACAAAAATTTGTTCAATATCAATCATTGTAATTATTTAGTCTTCACACCTTGTGCTACTTATTTGTCACATTTTCTTATTTGTCACTTCTTCTTACTTATTACACACTTTATTTGTTATGCTTCTTTATTTGTTATTCTTTTATTTGTTATATTTTATATCTTTCAGATTTTTTTTTTTTTTTTTAAATATTAATAATAATCTTTTAAATTTTTTAATATTCAAGATTCTTATTGTTATAGAACGATTTATTATTATTTTATTATTAGTTATTATTATTATTATTATATTATTATTATTATATTATT